CACACACACACACACACACACACACACACACACACACACACACACACACAAAGGCACGTAGTCTCGCTGCAGGAAAAACTGGGTGAAAGGTGACTGGCAGTAGAACAGTGCTTTCTATGCGCTGAGAGTGTCCCCGAAGTCACCTTCAGCCCTCCAGCATGGATCAAGTCCCACCACGTAGGCAAYTACCGTCAAATCGGTTTGACCCATGTGGAAATACCAGCGTCGCCTCTCTTACTGTATACCACCAGCAAGTTAAAGAAATATCACAGAAACAGTGCGGAGGAAGTGAAAAGAGTACGCAGACGTGCAGGAAGTCATTTGTTGCTGCATCTCCACAGCTGAGTCTGAGCGCTTTGCGTGTTTTCGTATGTACGACACACATTACATATGAGCTGCTGAATGCTGCCAGAAGATCGTGATGCTTAATGAAGCAGCTGAGGTGGTGCAAAACAACAAAAACAAACAAACTTGGCTGAACAGTGTTGTGTTTGTATCTGTAGCACTTATTCTGTTACGTATAAAACAACAAAAAACAGGAGGTAGGATACAAGAGAAAGGCAGCTCCAGGTGATGTTCCGGACATCACATCAAAAACACGTGCAAATTACTACATCTACTCAACAAACAGCTGGGATTTCACCATTACAGATGTGCTCACTGCACCCTGAATGGTCTTTGAACAGCTAGATAGCATGTAAACATCTGGGGACACATGGGTCATCCTGAGTCACACTTTTGCAAATGGAGAAAACTTTGAGTAGTTATCGTCACTATGAGTTGGTGGCCAGCAAAGTAATAATAATTTGAGTTTATAGTCTTAATGCCACACTGATGTTAACTAATATTAATATTTATTAATCCACCTTCAGGGGAACACTACGACACTAAGAATGACAGCTACACGGGGAAATGTAATGAACAGAAAAAGACTTTTCTGCCTGTCTGTGGTTAGCCAACAGTCGCGTGGACGAACCTCAAAGTAGATGAAAATTCAGCGCATTCTCACTCCATCAATTCTCACAAGTGATGCYTTGGATTGGGTCTTAGGGTCAGGGTTTACGTAGTGAGAACACATTGGAAAATTTTTTATGAAATGAAGAAGATTCATTCCATTATAGGGATTTTAGTCCTGTGATGGTAAACTATTAGTTATCACATCTGGAGCAGATGGTTATGATCAATGATAAAATTCTGAATTAAAACTGTGAATTTTAAAGGATTTTTCTCTTTGATGTAAATCTCAACACAAGTTTAGTCACCCAGCAAGACAACAACTATCACAAAGTGTTTCCAGCTCCGTTTAAATCAGAGAATTATCAATCTAAGCACTAAGGACTAACATAAGCACTTTAATGGAGAAAACCCAACTGATTCCCAGAATTAAAGCCATTCTACAAACTAGATTATCTCCCAAGATGAGGAGGACTGACTGTCAGTAACTGGAAACATATGATCAGAGTTATTTCTGCACAAGAAGTCAAACCAGTTACTGGAACAAGAGGCTAACACACTTGTGACAGATTATAACATAACTTTCCTCCTCGTTTAATTGATTCTGTAACGGTTTGTAGGGGTTGGACTCGGGAAGCAACTAAACATAAATTTAAGGAGACACAGTAGATATGGTGTGAAGAACATGTCAGACTTAAGATGATGTGAAACCTGGGTGACTGTAAGGACAGGGCTAGGGCTGAATGAAAGGAGTCGAGACACCTGGGCATAACATGACTAATGGGAACAGGTGAGAGTGGGCGGGGATAGAGCTGAGAAGCAGAGGATGGTTGTATCGAGCTGTTTAAACACACACACACACACACACACACACACACATTATATATACACTCACCGGCCACTTTATTAGGTACACCTGTCCAACTG